AAGATTTCCAATCGAAGACTAGATCAATTTTACGCATACCACTTTTAACAAAGTAATATGAAATATGATTTTTACTTCATTTTAATATATTCAATATTATAATAAATGTAGAATTGAAAAATAATTAAATTGAAATGAATTCTTTGAACTCTTTCTTACTTCAGGATTTCAGATAACCTTTCGTTTAACGTTTTATTTTTCTACAAACGCTACTTTTTTTGCAAATTTAAACTTACACTTAGGGAGGAATTTTTCTTTCACGACAAACGGCATAAAAGCATAACTAAAAATGATTCAGTTTAAGAAATAAATAAAAGATTGTAAGTAAAAAAGATTTGATTGAAATCGCTCACGAAAATTAAAGAATACTAAAAATTTTTGCTAAAAAAATAATGAATTTCGATTTAAAAAAATCACGAATTGAACTAGTTTTAATACCAAAATCTCAAATAATAGGAGATTTATTTCCATGTTTTGAAAACGACGTGCAGTTTTTTACCCTTAGATACCCCAGATACTTAGATACCCCTATACCCCAGATACTAAGGACAACTCTATCTATTAATAAAATTCTTTTCAAACCGTAAGTATTGGGCAAAACGATAAAAACGCAGCAAGAGTCCTTTATAAAGACCATATACTATAACAGACGGAATTTTTATTGTGAGCTTGTTGTTATAAGCAAGCACATATTTTTGTGGTCAACAAAACACGTTGATATATGGTCAAAAGAAAAGGCTCATTCTTTTGAAATATGTAGCAAGATTCTTAAAACTTGCAAAAGTTTTCTGTTTGGAAGAATAATGCTTATGGTCGCTCACACTTCTACCTCAAAACGTGAAAGTAAATTGATGTTCGTTTCTTCTTTTTCTGTAATAGTATAAGGAATGAATAAATAAGTCTACCATTTCGTATGTCTCATTAAAACAGGAGAAAAATGTATTTTTTAAAAATAAAAGTCGTGGCAATAGCGTGGAATCTAGTAATTTTCAGCTCGTTATAAAGAACAATTTTTGCATTAACATTAGGATTTTACAGTCAAAGACTCGGAAACTGGTCGTTATAGCGGACTTCTTGTAATATTCCGCATTCGTTACAACTGTAGAAGTGTTACCGAAAAAAAGAAACAATTAAGTTTAATAAGTTCGGGGTAAAATCTCGAGTTGCGACAAAATTTTGCCCAATAGTAAAAAAAAATATGTCGTTAATCGGTTTTATTTTTGAGCAATAAATATTTTTTACATGAGCATATTCCTAAAAATATTTTTAAAATAAATATTTTTTATGCTAATAACAAGACTAACTACGTTTTAAGTTAATAGTATCTGCGTAAAATCTAGCGTGGAAAAAATAAGTCATTTAATAATTTTTTTAGCAATAAATAATTTTTACGAGAGCAAAAATATGAAAATACAACAAAATATATATCTTTATTACCAATAACAAAATACCGATAGCATTTAATGGTATCTGGTCAAAATTTCGCTCAGTCTAGCATAGAAAAAATATGTCATTCATCAATCATATTTTCAGCAATATATAATTTTTACATGAGCGAAAATATAAAAGTACTATAAAAATAGATATCTTTCATTACCAAAAACAAGATTACGTCTAATGGTATATGGGCAAAATATCGATCTGGCAATTTTGCGTTCAAGTGATTGTCAAGATTTATAAACTACTATAACTAAATATATTTAAAAACTATTGAATTTTTCAAAGGAAATTCTTTAAACGTAAGGTTGAATAAACAAAATTTGTTTTAAAATATTTAAAAACTAATAGTAGCATCATTATTTCATTTTATAACCGGCTTTGAACAGTCGATCCAATTCTGAGTTAACGACTATCAATGTTCAATTCCGTAGCCGTGTAATTTTTCTCCCAACCCAGAAGACCAGGAATCTCCTGCATCAAACATTGGGACAAACTAGCCTTGGAGGACTTTTTGATGGAGCTGACCCACATTTGCGTTACATAAAGAGGAAAAAAAAGAAAAAAAAACGAAAATCTCCCACGGTTAGCCCATAGGCAAGGGGTTATTTTACGTAAGTGCTGTGGTTGGTGCGAGCCTGGTTTGGAATTCATATCGACCAGACATCGCTTGGATTCAAACCTGGGTCAGCTTATTGAGAGGCGAGCGCTCTTTCTCCTGAGCCACTGCGGCTCGGGCTCTATTATTTAACTATTTTTCTGTGAAAAAATTGCTCTAAGGAACATAAAACTAATATTTTAAGAAAGTTGGGCAAGGGTATTCTTATTCATAATCAGTCTAGCACTGAGGATATTCTACGTCAGCTGTGTGGTCGGGAGCATGGCTCTAGCATCATTATTTGTCACTTGCACAATTTAAAAGATAAAATAGTGTTGATATAATTTTTTCTAATGAAAAGTCTAAACTGTTATACATTTTATAGGCATGTATCGTTTAAGGTTTTGAATCCATATTTTTTCTGCTTCAAATTTGCCTGCAAGAAACTGTTTAATTCTTATTGTCGCATGTAACATTTCTACGTGTATTCTCGATCACTTATAATAAACAAATATATATTAAAAATCTACAAATAAATATAAAAAAGACACAATTGCCGGAATCGGCTTTATTTGAAAAGGTATTAGGTATTGGTATGCTTTACGAACAGCTATAAATTAAGGTCTGGCGAAAAATTGTCCTTGGAGTTGTTGGACTTGTTTCGCCGAAGATGCCGAGCCACCTGAGGGTTTTTTGATCACTGAGGGATAATATCTGTTATACATATAAGTGTTTTAAGATATTGTCAAAGATTCAATAAAAAAAAAATCTCAAATCTCGTTTTTCTATCTTAGGGGTTGTGTATAAATGATATCACATTTTTGAGAGGTGGGAGGGGAGATAGATGCCAAGAACTGTGACATCACATATTTTGGCTAAAATTACAACATTTCAAATCAACCTATAAAATGTTTGATATAATTAGCTTTTTTCCTTCATATTTTTCATCAAAATAAATAAAATCATCTTACCCTTATTCTTGTTATGCCTACTAATGCCATTAAATCGCATAGTTAAAGTTTGAAAATAAAATTTAAAATATGATCTACTACAGCGGTTCCCAATTTTTCTCGGCTATGGAACCAAAAATTATCAACCCTTGTGATGGAACCCCGAGCCCGAGACTTGATGAATAAATTTCATTAATAATTGTTAACAAATTAATGAACAAAAGACTATTAAATATTTTGAAAATAAGTAATAAACTTAATTTCATTAATTTGAAAACATTTAGTGAATTATATAAGGGACATTTTTTCATCATAATGAGTATCAGTCTTAAGATTTGGTTATATGTCTGATATTTGAATTCACACGTCTGAAGCGGCATTTATAGTTTAGTGCTTAATTTTATTTTAGTGTATGCATAAACTCATAATGAATGAGCTAAAATATGGTTTCCATTAAAATAGAAGCGAAAATGAAAGAAAATAAACGCTGGAAATGGTTATCAGAGTAACATACCTCTTCACTGTTGAATTTGGATGTTTTTATTCGATGAGAAAAACTAATAGAATTTTTTATAAATGCATATATCCTTTTCCTATTTCAATCATTATATAGTTGTTAAAAAACATTGTTTTGAAATATCTTTCTTTACAAGCATTGAAATTAAAAAATTTCATAAAATAACGGAAATATTAAATTTAATAATGGATTATTAATTTGGTTTTAACTCAATTACAGGTTTTAAAAATCTTAAATGGTTAAAAAATGTTTCCTAACTCTCGAAACCTCTATGACCCTTTCATGGAATCCTGGGGCTTTATTAAACACCATTTGGGAACCACCGCTCTATTACACGTGCTTTGTTTCAGAACTGCTAGCTATGTTTATGTAACGTAGCGTGACAAGGAAGGGTATGGGGAAGTGATACTTAAGGGCAAAGAGGAGTAGGTCAAAAATATTGAAAATAAGTGTGACATCATTTAAGAACTGTCCTTTTTACGAAAAACTCAGGGAGCTACACTGGTGTTCAAAATTCAGAGAATTTTCATATTTTGTTGAATTTTCTAAAATTAACTGAGTGAAATATAATACTACTGCTTCGAAACAAGGATGTAAACCTTGTGCGTCGAATACGCAAGCGTATACGTGTGTGTGGGTGGAACTAGTAGAGGAATGAACTTAGCGCGCACGACAAAATTTGCATTTTTTGCTGATTTACTTGGTGGTTTTTGCAGCAATCTTAACCGATTCTTTTAATTTCAAGCAGCAAAAATTAGTAGCCATCTACGTTTTGTTGAAATAAGGTGGCGAATTGTGGGACGACGTGAAGCAGGCCGTTCTGAAATCCAGATATATAGAGAATTCAATTTAACGTCCAGCGTTGGATGTAATTTATGGAAACAATTTACTGTTTAAGATTTCCAGATCTGTCGAGCCGAAGACCACACAGAGTACATCTAGTCGCCCATTTTCTGAAAAATGAAGATATTTGCCGGATGGATTGGCCATCCAAATCTCCAAACAGCAACCCTCTATAGAGCATGTCTGGAACGCTGTGGGGAGGACAATTACAGCAAGTAACTCTGAGAACCATCTAGTGTCTGAAAATAGAATTACTGAGCGAGTGGTAACAAACTTATAGAAATTCATAAACTGCCTTATTTTCAATATTAAATTGAAATCACGGCCTGAGGCCTATATATCTGTGCGAGGGGGCCATACCCCCCATTAAATCCTTTTTTATTCAATTCTTTAATCACTTTTTGATATCAAGCTACTCTGATGAGTCACGTACGGTCAAGCGTGTGTATTACAACTGTTCGATGCTTATTATTTTTGTATTATATCAACATAAGTTCATGCCAAATTTTATTAAAATATGTCCTGTAGTTTAGCGGATAATCGACCAAATATAAAAACTCTCTTTATTTTGAACACCAGTTTATATGAAACAGCAGATAAATTGCTTATTGATAAATAAAAGCAAAATACGTTTAAGTAAAAATTAATTACTTACTGGTAATAACATTTATATCAGGTACATGATCTATAGATAGATCAACTAGAAGAGAATTTCTTTCGAAAGCATCTCGAAGAGTTTTTTTCCGAACAGCGGATCCACATAGTCTATAAATGCCTACAATGTCCAAGCCCCTCTTTTCAACTTCTTCTGCACATCGTTTTACAATTAATGGTACAGAAAATCCAGAATTTTCTCGAATCACCAATGATTCCAAATCAACGCCAAACACACCATTCGGTACTTGGGATGGCAGTCTTTGAAATGTTTGCCTAGGATCTCTGTACCTTAATTTAAGATATAAAGTGCCACGGGGTTCCATTTTCAGTGCCAGGCTATGGGATGGAGACTCACGTAGGATGGTTAATAAATGAACAGAACCTTTATAACAAAGTTTGTGTCGTAGTTGCGGATCCCAACTGTACAGAAGAAAAGCAATTTCTATGTTGTCTACAAGTTCCAACTCGAATACTTCATCCCAATCAAAACTGTGTTCTCCTGTTCTTACGACAGTTCTTGCTTTGTGCACTCTATCGCATTCAATCACACAGTATAAATCACGAAAATGATCGCTATGGCTAGTTGATCTTAAACCTCGCCCAGCTAGTAGATGAACCCAGAGTAATCCACTGAATCCATCTCCACCTAGTACTGTTTCAGAATCTTTCTCTGGACGATATTTGAGGAATTCGCGGGGATTTAGAGTAAGAAGATGTAATCGTTCTTCTGATGCTTTCACTGGTGTAGGATTTGGAATTTGTCTGAGGTATTCTAAAATGTAAGGATGACCTAGGAGAGTTTGATGATTTGGTGGTTGATGAGATATTCTTCCAAGCTCGGATGCCAAATCTGTTGCTGACCTTAGCATCGGTCTTCGAGTGTATAATGTAGATACAGACGTAGGGAGCCCCATTCCCCTCAGCTCTTCCTAAAATTAAAAATATTCATGTACATTTACATTAAATAAATAGATACAATGCACTTTTTATATAATGCACAGCAATTTTACAATAATCTCTCTCTCTCTATATATATATATAATCACCTCAATGTAGGAATTCGGAATGATTTATGGTGGTCCAACATAAGAATATCAACTTGATTTGATGGTTTGTTCATGTTAAACCATCAGAAATTTCCATCGTAGTTTCCTAAATTCAAATGTTGGAGCGATCATGAACCTCGAATTTGGATTAATTTATGATGGGCCAACATAAAAAAAATTTTTTTTTTGATATTTTATTCCTGAAAACCAACAAGAATTCTCATTAAACCATCATGGAAATGTATAGATAGAACCCTCATGGACTATCACGAATCATCGTCGATTGTTTGTCCATGGAAATCAAAGTTTTCTTGATGATTAGCCATTATAATGTATTAAAGTAGCATTTTTCATCATGGGATGATGGAAGTTTGCTGGCATATCGAAAACCATGAACGCATTATGGTAAATATTGGATGATGAAGACCATCATGAATCTCACTGAAACCAACATAAACCATCAATATTATTTGATGAGACCATCAAGAATTTTGACGTGGGTATACAAGGGTATTCTCACTTGTATATAACTGTTCTACACCAAAAAACAGAGTTCATAATAGGGAAGCGCCCCTTGCGTCGTTTGACGACATTTCCGAGCATGTTTTTCTTAGCAATTTCAATACTGATGGTGCGCAGAAACTTATCGCAACATTTAGGTGACCCCCCCCCCTTATATATATAACATTTTTAAACTTGAACATTTCAACAAAAATAAATTAAAAATGTCATATTAAAACTGTTGCTTGAAAAGAGAAACAGATTTCGGAATCGAAATCAGTGATAAGTATCTATTATATTATCTAATATCGGATTAAAAATATTTCGTGCAAAAAAAAAAAAAAAATTCCCCAGTGTTGTCTGTCTTTTTCACGCATACTAATGAAAATAAAGTGTTAAATGTCTCAGTTTAACTTAAAATTAATTTTAGAATAATATAATGAAAAGATAATTTAGTTCAAAAAATTCGATTGATTTTAGAGTTGTTTTTGTTCTCAAAGTTAATGAAATCTGAACAGGGATGACAAATTTCGTTCGCAATGGAAAAAACCGCAGAAAAAAAATCGCCCTAGAAGAAATAGGTTTCTTCCTATTCAAATGGCAGAAATGGAAAAAAACCTCTTTTTTGGTAAAGAAATGTCAAATTTTAAAACAATTTTTTAAACAGCCTATTATTGCAGTCTATTTTAAATGATAGTATTAATTTCTAAGACATTTTAATATATCATTTTTAAATATGTGAAAACTTAATAGCAATTGGAAGGAAAAATAAATTTAGGGAATTTCTTATGAAATTAAAATAACTATTCCACTACTTTATGTAAATAAGTATAGTAAAACCTTATTTTATAATTATGTAAGGAACTGTTGAAATATCGAAATAAAATTTTATTAATACAACTAAATGATCAAATCTTATAGTGAACATAAATTCTAATTACAAGAAGTTGAGTGTAGGATACAAATAGCATACTAATTTTGATAATCAAACACTGTTAAATATAAATACTTAAAAAAAAAAAACTAGCATTGATATTTGCACATTCGCGATATTATTATTTTTGAAACTATGTTTTAAACAATATTATGAATTCTACATTTCTTGTAAGAAATGGTATTAAAATAGTATATTGTAACAATACATTATAAAATATCGTTATTTCAAAATTAGAAAAAATATTGATATTACACGGTGTACAGTGGGAGTACATTTTAAAGATTTTATTTCAAGATTTAAAAAAACGTCGATATTATATACATTTTGAAAAATCGTGATTACAAAATTAAAATAAATATATTTCTTATGACCTATCGTTGGAATATATTTTAAAATATTGTTTCCGTAAATTAAAATTAAATTTCAATGTTTCCTGATATGTCGTGAAAATTTGTTTTAAAATAGAAAGATACCGATATATCGCGAGAATACATTTAAAAATATCGTTATTGTGAAATTAGAAAAAGTACTTTCACGATACATCGTGATAAATTATTTCCATACATCGTTCCTGAAAAATTAAAAGTAATTCAAATATCAATCTTTCACGTTGCATCACCCTATTAACATTGCCAAAAAATTAACATTGCCGAAAATAGAAATAAATGTATTTACATAGATCTTATAACGTAGTTTACACGCTGGGAATTTTCCTTCATTCAAGTTTCCCCACTAGTTTACTACGATTGTAGTGAATACCTATTTACAGAAACAAAATATAAAACAGACGCCATCTTTAATTTTAGGATAAATTTTTGATTTTCATTTTCTCGTTTATTTCCTCACTGTTCGTAACAAAATTTTGATAAAAAAAAGTATCATTCGATTGTACTATACCTTCCAAAAATGATGGAAAATAAAGGAGTTTTAGGAGAAATAGCACTTGTTAACTTCAAGAAAATGTTTGAATTTTTTTAACATAAAGCAATGAAATAATGCTGTTTGTAATTTTGGATAGATAATTTAATACAGCAAATTTGTCTGTTTTTAAAATTTATTTTTACTGCTAAGCTGATTTGAATAATGCTGAAAAATTTCCGTAGTGCGGAAACAAACATATTTATCAAAATTTTGAAACAGATAACTGTATTAAAATAAATTACCTTTCAAAAAATACAAATTGCAGTATTGTTTTAGCCCAATTTTTTCCAGAAAAAGTTCGTTTAAATATTGAAATAATCAAACTATATATTTCTCCTATTTTATTCGGGCAATAACCTTGCATTTTAGGATAATTCGAATGATACTGTCTTATACAGTGAATATCCAACCTTAGTTTATTTGTTAAAATTATATAAAGATGGTATAAGTAGAACAGTAACATTCAGTAGTGTTGACAATATCTGGATTTCAAAGTTGCGATATATTTTCAGGAAAAATCACTATGTGTTACGATAAATCACGATATTTTCACAATATAAAAAATGTGCATTTGAGAATCTTTTTCGTTACCTAAATACAATTTATCAATACTCACGATAATATCGTATTCAATAAGTTATTGATAATATTTAAAGTATATTAGGATTCGATAATTATCGTATCTATAATGCTTGTGATATTTATCGTAGTCGATAATTATCGCGTATTTATATTTATTGTACGACATGACATTCACGATTTATTGTAAGAATACTTTTCAAAATATCGTGATATTTAAATCGATACATAAATGTTATTGCGTTAATTTAGTGTATGCTTCCTAACCAGTTTTTTTAAATTTAGAACGAAAACTAAGCAGAAAATCGAATAATATTTTTCATTATTGATTTAACAATTATGCGAATAATAAAAAGCATATTAAGAGATGAAAAATTGTTTTATATTTCATGCAATTTCTGTTTTATATTTTATGCAATTTTAACGATTTTATTCAATTGAATAGAATTTTGGTTCAAAATTTTGTACATTCTGGCACTTTAGATGTCATGTTTACTCCTCTTCTGCTCATCTCTCTGCTTAATACTAACTGCCGTAATAATAATAGCACAAATTGCCGTAAATGCAAGTAATAAATTTAAAAAAAATCTCAAATTTTAAATGGCTTCAATGCCATTCGTTCACTTTAGATGTCATGTTTACTCCTCTTCTGCTCATCTCTCTGCTTAATACTAACTGCCGTAATAATAATAGCACTAATAGCTGTAAATGTAAGTAACAAATTAAAAAAAAATCTGAAATTTTAAATAATTTTTGCATGATTTCGAAAACAAGGGCATTTAAGGAAATTTGCATAAAAGCAAACTTGCATCCTTAATCATAACTTAAATAGCCGATTGATAGTATCATTAATGTTTCGACATGCTACATTAATATAATAAAATAATTACTTGTTTCAGTCTATCTAAGAGAGACTCAGCACTATGGGCGCTTCTGGGTAACTGTGGTCGGACTGTTGGTGCTCTACTACGATCATATAAAGCTGAAGTGGAAGGGGCTCTTGTTAACCATCGACTGTATTCGGCAGACGTAAAGATCGGCGATGTCATTCGACGAGCTAAACAAACAAATATTGCATTTAACACAAAACACACAGTTATTAAACAAACATTCAAATAAGGAGGGGACTGTTCAAATATTATGAAAGTATCAAAAGGGAGGATTGGGCTTGTGATTTGCTCAGTTTTGCTCAGTAAGAAGGGTATGAATAACGCTTACGCAAGGCACTAAAATTCTCTTATTTTAAATTTTTTTAATGCAAAAAAGATTTATCAAATATGAGCGAAAAATTACACTTTAAAAACTTTTAAAAGTTTCATTTGAGGATTTAAAAAATTGGAAAAAGTTTCTTCAAGGAGTTTCAAAATTTCTCATAATTTTTTTTTTAATGTCAGTTTTGTTTTCAAAAGTGCGTTTTTTTGTTGTTGTAGAATGTACATTTTTATGTCTGATTACGTCTATGAATTTTTATTTCCAGTACAAAAAAAAGCTAAGCATTCTGTGAATTATCAGCGTAACAGAAAGACACAAATTATTTTTGCTCTCATTACAATTCGGTGGCCAACAGCCTATCCATGTTCTTGTTGTTTTGCATTACACGCTATTAGAATTTTAATGTCATTATAATAGCTGCACGAAGAAAGAGTTTTAGTCCTATTTACTACTTTTCGAGTAATTACTGGAATTAAGTTTTTGAAAAAAAAAAGCCATTTTGTCTAACTTTTAATTTAATTATTGGATTTGCAAATCTTGTAACCCAGCCAATTATTCAACTTTGCACAAAAGTTAGAATTAAAAAAAAGGCAATAAATATATGAAATTGATGAGGCAAAAAACATTTCGTTACCTCGGTCTCTTCTTGCTCTGCTTGCTGCTGGTAGCTCAGGAGCTGAAAGTGCTCCATCACTATCTGACTGTGAATCATACAATCGGACATTAGTAGGTGGTTGTTGTTGCGTTATTTGTTGAAAACGGCGGAAATCCATTTCAGACATTCGAACTCTTGGCAGTGAATTGCTACGATTTGCACCAGCACCATACGCCCTAGGGAATGCGAAAGCGGGTCTTGCAACTCCTCGTTGACGTTGCACCATAGCGTTTTTAGTACTATCTGTTGCTTCAGTATCTGAAGCACTATCGTCTATTGTCGGCCGTCGCCGATTGGTCAGTGGTACAAGAGGTTGCTGTTGAAGAGGTTGAGTAATTTCATCAGCCGCTCTAAATATAAAAAAAAGAAAAAAGAAATATAGTTGTATCATAATCGGTAGTTCTTGACCAAACAATATGAAGACGCAGCATAAACCCCTATTAATCGTTTCTCAATTGACCATTTATTGCGAATGATAGTTACGGGAAAACGACAAATGCGGGTTATCGTAAAATATCCAATAATAATTTGGAAAATTATGAAAAGCAATTCATTTATGAAAATAATAATGGAGTAATAAATTGACAATAATTATAAAATATTTTAATTGAAAAAATTATGTACTTGCTTACAAATATTTACGATGCAAAAGAAGATGAATAAACATATTTATTGAAAATATATAAAAACATTATTTCGAACACACTTTTTTCTTCTTAAAGCAAACAATAAATATTCAACATTTGTAACACATTACGGTTCTTTCTATAGATTATTGTGAATACAAAAATTTTCTCATTGTTCTTAGGGCTTCGAGGCGTTTTGGAAAGAGTAATATGGGATTCTGTTTGACCATTTTCATTGGTATTATTTGCTTCTTCAGTTTATGCAACCATTTTTTTCAATTAACATTGCAAAATTTTCATCAACTGATACGCAAACATCAAACATGAGCTGTTTTACCCAAATCATAACAAACCCTTATTTTATTCTTCATCATTGGCACCAAGAGTAACTATTAATCTTCTTAAAACGTAATAACTTAATTTGTTTTTAAATGTCAGTAAAATTTCCGTATGACAGACGTGGGAATATTCTAGATTCAAAAACGATCTTAACGAGCATTATTAACATTATAAAAACAGCATTTGTTACAAGATCGATAAAGTAAAGCAAGGCAAACGTAAAAACGAAAGATGTGAGAAGGATGAATCGAAATTCAACTTATCTCTTAAAGTTTGATAGACAAATTAACGAAGATAGGTATGGGATAAGCATAAACAGTATTTTTATTAGTGATATGAAAGGTGATTCACCACAGTGGTGATAAGCTTAGAAGAGGAATAGAACATATAATATGGTTTGAGAATTGCATAGCAACTCATGATCGGGATTGTTATCGTACGCTACTAAGAACCGGTGTTTCTCTTGCATTTGAAACACTACTTTTATTTACCTTAATTGTCTTCATTTTATATAAACTTGACGTTTTCTAGGAATTAATGTCGAAAATTGCATTCCTATAGGCAAAGAGATATCTATTTAACGTAATTTAGTGATTTGGCGGCTAACATCTTCAGTTGGTAGCCAATTTGGAGCGTTAGTCGCCATGTCAGTTTAGAATTACGATAAAGCAGCCATTTGAATGCATTTTTTTAACAATAATTACAGGGGAATGTAAAATTATCACAAAATTAGGTAATTTGGAAAAATAAAAGTGCCATTTCAAATGTGCATGAACAGCCAGTCCATAACGGGGAAGCACCCCTAATGGTGCATGATTGCATTTCCGCACATGGGTTGCTATGCAATTCTTAATCTTTGTGAACTGCTGTACCATCCTTCCAAAATTTAAAGTGCCGTGCTGAATCGTCTTGTATTCACTTGTGCAATAGAAAAATCAACGTCAGTGACGAAATAAATAAATAAATAAAAATAAATATTGAGACTTTTATATATATTTCTCATTTTCGCATGATAAGCTACTTGTTGCAAATTAAAATTTTTTTTTTCAGTTTTAAAAAGTTTATCAGTTTTAAAATTTTTATTTTATCGTTAATAGTATTTACGAAATTTTACGAAAAAAGATTCAAGAAATGATAAAAAATACTTTCACATCGAAAGAGAAGAAGCAGGGAATCGATTCAAAGCTCACAAATTTTTTTTTAATGAGGTGAAATGTAGAATTGGACCCATCATATTTATCTAAAAAGTCTATATTTGTTTTTCTGCAAGTGGAATTTAAAAAATTACGCCAAAAAAAACACCTCAGAAGACCACAGCACTGAATGAAATATCATGGCAAACTAATCTCCATAAGATTTTTTTAAGAGTAAAAATTCGTATGAGTCAAAATTTTTATTGTTAATCCAGTGCCGATGACGTTTGTACTCCATCACGTAATATGCCTATTACTGTTAATGTACTACTTCAGCTCTGACAAAATGTCACCAAAAAATCTCGTCCTTAAACAAATAATGACTCAGAATGATTCTTACTAAAAAGATGTCATTAAATCCTTTAAAGAATTAAATGCTTTATCCTCCTTATTTCATTTTAAAACCGAAGCTGAACAATGGATCCAATTTTGTTTTAACGACAATCAATGTTCAACTACGCAGCCTTTTTTATTTTGAACCCAACCTAGAAGACAAGGGAATTCCTGGAACAAACTAGCCTTCATGGAGGGTTTTAAATCATGATCCGTCTACCACTAAGGTTATTTTTAACATCAGTACAGTGGTCGGTGCGAGCCAGGAGCGAAATTTGCATCCACCAGCCATTGCGAGGGATTCGAACCTTATACACCTAATTGGGAGGCAAGCGTTCTATTCCTTTAGCCACCGCGGCTCTGTTCATTTTAATTTTATTTTTTATTTTATAACTGGTGTTAAGCAGCTGACCCAGTTCTGGGTATACAGCTATCAATGTTCAACTCCGTAGCCTTTTAATTTTCAGCAGAACCCAGAAGACAAGGGCATTCTTGAATCAAGTATTGGAACAAACTAGCCTTCGTGGAGGTCTGTTTGATTAAACAAACCTGCATTTGCGTTAGAGAGAGAGGGAAATTACGAAAAATCGCCTACTGTTAGCTCGACGCATGGAGCTAGGAGTAGATGGAGGAGACACTAGCAGAAATTCGTGAAGCCGAAAGCTCGGCAATGTTAACCGCGAAATTAACCGTCGGCTATCTTACTTACTTCAAAACATTGGCAGTTGTAGCTCGTTTATGCTTGAATTGTCGTATGTTCGGACAGTTATTATCATTTTTATTTTATTCGTTATTCGAGTAGTCTTACTTTGTCTTATTATTTTTTCTTGGACTTCTTATTATTTTAATTATGACTTCTTGCATCTTAAGGTTTTATGTTACTTTATAAAAATTTCAGCTGTAGTTTTATTTATTTCTGTCGAAGTTATTCATCTGAAAATTGATATTTTTTAAAACCAGAAAGTATCCCATTGCATTCCAAATATGAAATAGATAAAAAAAATTTAAATTTATTAAAAATCTAATATTATATACAAGTGATTGCATGTAATATTAGATAATAATAAAGTACTCCATGATTACATATANGTATTTACAACATTCTTTGAACCTGGGCACCTAGTTTGAAAGTGAGCGTCCTATCCTTAGAGCCACCGTTGCTCAAAATAAATAGACATGATAGCAATGAATAATTGTTTTTGAAGCTAACTTATCAAGTTTCATTCTTTGATGTAACAATTAGCTATAAAAATAAGCTTGCAATGAGAATTCATTATAGTTATTAACTAGAAATAAATAAAATCTATGACTACTAAGTTTTCATTTGTGTAATTGCTTAGTTTAAGATCATGCGATACGTAACAAATAAGCAGTGATTTTAGACCTGCAAGTATAAAAAGCTAATGCATTGTTCATTATTCACCTAAACATAACATTGAAAGTGGTCATTAACATGTTCTAAACTTTAAAGTTACGTAATGTCAGGGAACTCTTTATTCTGAAGAGTCTAATGCTCATAGACAAACATGGTTATCTTAGTCGCCCAGAGTGAAACAATTAATTAAATTCAATATGCTAAAATTGTAAAGAGAGAGAAATATTTAAAGTTTGTCTAGACGCAATTGAAACTAGCTGCGTGTTTGGTATCTACTGTTTTCACATTTCCCTCCTTTCTTCGTTGTTAAGAGTTTTTAACAATTGCTTAGTAAACCTGCTCTTTCACTTAAGATTTATAAACTGTATAAAAGTTTGGAAACAACATTTACTTAAGTAAAGTTTAGAAATGTTATAAAATCTCTAAAAGATTAATCAAAATCAATTTAGTTTTATCATAACTAGAATATTCTATTTCAATTAGGTTTGATATAAATTGATTGCAGTTATTTCTGTAAAATGTTATAATTTCTTATTCAAAAATATAAAGTCCTTAAAATTTAATACTGTAAGAGCTCTAAGCGACTTATCAAAATCAATTTCATTTTCCCATAATTAAAGTATTCTAGTTCGGTTTGATTTGATCCTAATTGACTTCAAATTAAATAGGTTATTTCTGTTAAATGTTATAATTTTTTATTCAAAAATAACAGGTTTTTGATATTTATTATTGTAAATGCTCTGAAAGGCATATTAAAATCAATTTAATTTTCTTATTATAAAAATATTTTAGTTTAATTAGATTGGACCTAAATTTAATACGAAATAAATCATTTATTTCTATAAAATTTGATAATTTGTTTATTCGAAAATAACAAGATTTTAAAATTTAATTCAATCGGATTCACGCATTTCAATACTTTTAGAGTAAATAAGGTATGCAAATTTTACATGCATTTAGATAAAGTAATTCCGCTTCAGCTAGTTGTATATTGAAGTCAGTGAGGTTAAAGCTTCACAATTTCTAAAATAATGATATTATTATAGTGTAGCAATGAAGCCAACATCGCGCACTAACCACTTTTACTTCCAAGACTATCAGAAACTGAGTAGGAAGGACTAGGGATAGAACCTCCATTCTTCGCAACATTACCATCACAACTCGTGCATCGTTTGTAAAACTTAGAAAATCTTTATAGACCACAGTTTCATTCCACAGTATTTGACTTCAGACGTTCGGTATGTAAAAAAATTTAATTATTTTTTTAAAAAAAACTATTGGTTAATAGTTATTTTAGAATAATTGATCATATGATGTATTTAGCTTACAAATGTCAAACATGAAAGTATTTTCAAATGTATTTTCGTTGTAACAAAAAGAAAACAAACTATTGACTGTAAAATATTTCATACCCACGGAACATCATAGTGAATTTTGCGGCTAATGCTAAGTCTATGGAGTAATTCGTGAATTTATTGTAAAGA